GAGGGTGGCGTGTCCCTGCTTCCCACCAGGGGGCGCACGCTGACTCTCCAGGCCCTTTCATTCTGGTGAGTTCTCCTGGTCCCTCCCTGGGAGGACTGCAGCTTCCATCCCAGGGAGTCCAGCTCCTAGAAACAAGGAGGCCTGGAGGTGCAATGGGTAATGAAGGGTTAGCAGTTCAAACCCAGCCAGACGTCTTCTGGGGAAATGATGTGTCAGTCAGCTTCTATAAAGGTGATGGCTTAGGAAGACTTATGGGACGGGTCTCTTCTGCTCCACAAATTCACAGTGAGGGGGTGCTGACCCAACACCCCACAACACACGATAGTACAGAGGGCCACATTTCCTAGTCATCAGAGAAGAGAACGTACGTTCTTGTTCTAAATGCACATTTAAAAGGAAGAGGTAAATTTCACCAGTCCCAACTGTGAACGTCAGGTTAGGAATTTTACCTCATTTAAGTCATTCTCATACTCAGGAAAAATCAGCTGTTAGCATTGAGAGAGACCCTTTAAATTTAGGATCTTACCACTCTTCATTTTGTAAGATGAGAAGTAATAGATTGCAAATTTCTTTGAGGAGCAGATATTGTTCATAAAATAATTTATAATGATGGCCAACATGTGAATGCTGGAAATAAAGAAATACTTCTAACGAAGTCACTTCCACAGAACTGAGTAGAATGCCGGAGCCCCTGGCTGGCACAAATAGCTAACACACTCGTCTGTTATCTGAAAGAAGGGAGAGTTTGAATTCACCTTCACCCAGAAACATGTTGGAAGAAAAAGTGTAACACAACTTCTCCAAAAGTCAACCAGGGCATCTGAGGCCCCCGGCTCTACTCTATGCACACACACACACACAGTTCACCGTGAAAGGGGATTAACTTGATGAAAACAGGTTTGGTTTTGATTTTAACAATATTGTCTCCGGTTAATTAACTTTGTAGTTTGTGGTCCCAGGCCCAGCTAGTCTGTGATTAATCTGCTTCACCCTTTGGTAGTTTGGAGACTAAAAGGGCTCAGTTCTTATGTTTTCAAATACAAAGGATAATCAGAGTAGAGGGAAGCCTTGGTTCATTTTTAGGCTGCCTTTTAAATATTTTTGTTTTTTAAATTGAGGGTTTGGGGAAACCCTGGATCTAGCAAGTGTACTGGTACCATTTTTTTGAACAGCGTGAGCCAACTCTGTGCCTCTATGTGACATTTTTGGTGATTCTCCCAATATGTCAAGCTTTTCCACAATGCGGTCACACACTTGATTGACTACAGTCATGTGTCAACTTTTCTACACCCTGGGAATCCAGCAGATGCGTGTGACTTAGGGTACCCGTGTTACTGCGCTCTTCTAGAATCCACGCTACAGTATCTTGAGGTCACCAGTAAGTGAAGGGGGGATGAGACACTGTCTGAGTCACGTGTCTGCCACATAGAAAGTTCTTGGAAAATGTATAAATGACTGTAATGACCAGGGTTTTATTCGAAAGAAAGCGGGGGGATGATGCACGGGGAAAGAGGAATATCTGAGGTCCTGAGGAATGGTGGAAGGTGGCTGTCAAGGCAGGGCATTGCTGTCACCACTTCCCAGCACCGATTGCAAATTCTGCTCCCAAACATTTTGTAAGAACCCAATTCAAGGTAATGTTTGAGGCCTTTGCGTCCAGTGGCCTCCAAGAGAATCATTAACTTCACTATCTTGTTTGGAGATGGATTGACTTTTACGGAAGTCAACAACATTTTGGGACTGGGACACCCTGTTTCTTGGAGTCCCCTGGCCAGTCCCAAAATGGAGTGGAAGAAAGTGGTCCTCCTGCTGCTTTATCTTCTGCAGTCAGGTAAGGCTTAAATGTCTTTTTAAAAATCACTATTTCTCCCCCATGCAAGACCCTGCTGTATGCTCAGAGGTTCAAACCACAGTGTGATTTGAAACTTGATTTAGGCCCAATTCGTGAGCCCTAGTTGATGAGAGTCTCAGTTCAAAACCTAACAGGAGGTGGGGAGCCCGCCAGGAGAGGAGGTGATTCCTGCCCTTGGTGCTGTCAGGGTGCTGGAAACAAAAGGGTGACTTTTCAGATCTAGAAGACAGAGGCCCAGTGGTGGCTATTTTAGCTGGAAACAAAGATGGCTGAGGCTGACAGGCCACAGGCCGCTAGCTGTACCTCCTGGTCTTAGAGTGGTGAATTGGGAGCATTTTTGTGTGGGTCCCAGTCTTGCCCCCTCACTTAGAAATCTCCAGAATGGATGATCTCTCTGAGCTGACCTGACCATCTGTGAAGCTGGACTCGATTCCCTCTTTGCTACGATGTAGGTCAGTCTTTCCTTACCTACATGTCGTGTCCTGTGCCTGGCGAAGGCACTGCACCCACTGGACAGATGACCAGTGTGTGCATGAATTCAGCACCACTCACTTAGTGCTAGATAGGCCAGGCATTCCCACATGGCCCTCAGGCTGCTTTGGACCCTGTGGGGCCAGGGGGGGTCTCTGCCAACTGCAGGGCTAACAGTGGGGGCGGCAGCCATTCCTTGGGAACACAGTGGGCAGTGTCCTCCGGTGAAGAGTCACCAGCCATACACCCCGTTGGAGGGCCTCTCTGGGTTGGACCTGTCCTGTGACAGCGGGGTTGCCCACACATTATCTTTCATATTTGATGGGAGAAATTAATTTCTTTTCCGTCCTCAGCCCCAGTGTGAAGACAAGGAAATCTTGACTTGGCGGATTTATGTTATTTGTCCATTGGCCAAACTCCTAAACCCAGCAAGGGAAGGAATTAGGATTGAAACCAGGCTTTCCAAAAATGAGGCCAGTGTTCTCGCTTTTTCAATTTTGTTTGAAGTTTCTTTAAAATATTCTAAACATGCCCTAGCAGCTCTCCCTCCTTTTTAATGCTTTTTATTGAGATAGAACTCACATGGCATATAATTCACCCATTTAAAGTATACAAGTCAACGGCTTTCGGTGGGTTCAGAGCAGGGCAGCCGTGAGCACACTTCTTTTGAGGACATTTTTATTACCCGAGACAGAAACCCCTCAGCCGTCACCCCTCGCACCCTCACCTCTCACGCGGTGACCCGCACACCACCCCTGCCACCACAACTCTGCTTTCTGTCTCTGTGGCTGTGCCTCTGCTGGCGTTTTGTGTAAATGGAGTTGTACAGTTTGCTGCTGTTCTCCATGGGGCCAGAGCAGAGAGGGCGAGCGAGCTGCAATTTGCTCTAGACATCACCAGAGAGGAGGTTTCAAGCTGCAATTCGAACCAGGACCAAACTCATTTAGGCTTGATGGGAAGAAGCCTTAAACACTCAAGAAACGAGAGAGCAGGAAAGGACGAGACAGTGGGCGTTCTGTGAGAAGTGGGGGCATGCCGGGGGTGGGGCGAGGGAGGGTCTGCAGACCCCATTTCCGCCATGGAAAGTGGGACTTGGAGGGAGATGGGCTCGTGGGCCACGTCCTCGTACCAGGATTAGCATATGTTTTAGCCAACTTAGGAAAAACCTCCTCTTTCACAGGCTCTTTTGAAAGGAAAGCATTTACCCTTACTTTCCAAAGCACCTTTCATCTTTCCAGTGAGAGAAATTTTTTATGGCTGTACTTGGTGAGAGCTGGGTACACATTTTGCATTTCACGAACCACTGAATCTTTCTTCTAAACACACAAGCATGTGTACACATTCACACACCCCAGTGACTTAAAAAAAAAAATCCCCATTATTAAGAAAACACATTTACTTTGGCAGCAGTGCACGCCTATATTTGGCCTATAATATATTTTTCCTACTAAAAAATGTGTTTAATGTTTCTCCACGAACAAATAAGCCATTAAGCTATACTCCCATTGCCATGCGAACTGCAGTGGAAGAAGAAAAACAATTTGTCAAACAAAAAAATGAGAAAAGAAATAGATTCTCTTCTGGGATATGTTTCTGGAACGTCAGCGCCAAAGGTGGATTCAGCTGGTCGACCCGATGTCATTTGCTATGCATTTAGAGGCCAGCTAATTAAGGGATGACATAAACAGGAATTTTCTCTCTTGGAATATCATTTATAGCCTTGCTTGCTACACTTTCCAGAACCCTGGAGAAGTTGAATTTAACTCTTTGTGAAAGACATGATGTGGGTTTATCGTGTGCCTGGTTTTGAAATCACATGATGATCTGTGGGATTTAGCAAAGCACAACTCTTCTCAGAATTGAGTGTCCAAATGGAAAGAAAATGCAGGAGATTTCAAAACGGGCCTAAGATATATATTTTCCCATAATCTTATGATCCATTTATCAAGTGCTTTCTGGTATATTAAAGTTTAAATTACGTCAACCAGCTTCCCACTCAATAATCCATCCGTCCATGGTGCAGTCCCCTGAGGAAGGAGTAAGAGCAGATGTGGGGAGGGGTGAGCTCTGCATTAATCTTTTGGGGTTCAGCCCTCTTGTCTGGTCAGCATGTGGACTTGGAGGGTGGGCGGGCAGAGCTGAGAGAATGGCCCGTAAGGACCCTCTCTACTGGAACATTTTCTTCAACGTGTAAGCATGTCCTCAGAGGTTTATCTTCAGGATGACTCTTTGGCTGTACCTTCCTCCAAGTGCCTTGTGCAGTAGTAGCCTTTTGAAAGCCTTGACTTCTCATGTGTTCCCACTCCTGTTTTCCCAGTTGTCTTTCCACCCATCTGCTTGGCTGGGAGCCTTCTTGCTCTCCTTTCTATAGTCAAGGCTGCCATGTTTGAGCTTCATTTCCCCACTCACTCCTACGGAAGTTGTCCACGTTCCATACCCAAAGGCTGGAGCTGGCATCTCCAGACTTGGGTTGGCACTGTCGAAGCCAGGCCAGGTGTTAGACAAGCCCCCAAACAAGGGACACTTTTCCACATCTTGTCTGCGGAAACAGTTCCAGGGCCCCCTTGGCCACTGTCCACAGCAACAAGGGAGGAAGCAGCTGTCAGACAGATTCTTGGCCTCCAATCTAATCTCTCAGAGAAAAAATCACGGCTAATGTTTGTTCCAAACCCTGCTTTTCTGGTATAATGTTGTGTTGGGTGCCTTGGGATCACCTCATTGTGTCAAAAATTCTCCACAATTAATTGTGATGTGTCACTGCAGCTTGTATCAAAATGACCTTGTATCGTGGATAAAAGCTGTGCCCTTTGAGAATTTTTACCCGGGATGAACCACAACCCCAGATCAGAGGACCCCAATGTGTCAGGGTGTGTCTGCGCCCAGAGGCTCTGCAGTGCTGACTTTCTAGAAGTGCTTCCCTAGCGCCTCCTCCCAAGGTGTCTCTGGATGGACTTGAACCTCTAACGTTTCAAATAGCCACCACTCAGCCAGGAGCATTAGCTGCTGAGCAATGACCCAATTTATCCTAGTTCCTCTTCATTTTTAATAACACTATTAATTTGCTGAAATGTTTGCACATTGAGTTAGAGGAACTGTGTTCACTGTCAGTTAAAATAACAGTGTCACAGGGAAAGAAAGCTGGAAGTCAAACAGGGGCCTCCAACTCCCAGCGTGGCCCAAGGACTGATAAAATCACACTAAACTCATCACTTTACCCTTTGTCGCTTTGATGTTTATAGCTGCATTGCCCACAGACAGCAAAACAGTCAACAAAAATTGTTCTGATTTATCCTTTAATGTCTATTAATAGCCTAACATGGGAATGAAGAAGTAGTTCTGATTCACAGTCCAGTTAATCTACTAACACAGTGCAATCTATTAGGAGCATAATGCAGTCTATTAGGAGAACTTTTCTAGACAAATGTTTGTATTTGTAGACACACATTCTGCTTCCGGAAGACAGCATGTTTTATTTCACACACCAGAAGCGAATAGATCGCCTGGGCATGGCGACTATGAACAGCATTGGAGCCTCTTACCCACTGCCCAACTTATCCACTGCCCAACTGTATTTCTTTTTCTATAGGTCAAGGAGACCCCTTGGATGGTTATGTGAACACTAAAGGGGCTTCACTGTTTAGTGTCACAAAGAAACAGCTAGAAGCAGGAAGCATAGAAGAATGTGCAACAAAATGTGAAGCGGAAACAGAGTTCATCTGCAGGTATTTGCATTGTCACTGTGCTGTGTGGGGATCCTATGTCGATGGCGTTGCTGTTCTAGTGAGAACACGTCTAGTCTCAGACTCATTAACAAAAAGAGGACGTAGAGAAACTTGGGTGGTGAACTTGGAATTTGGAATCTGTGTTTTGTCTTTGAATTTGAAAAAATACCAGTAGTTTCTTGTTAAGGTTTCGTACCAAGAAAACCTAAACCCGACCCAAAGACGTTGAGTCAGTTCCAACTCCCAGTGCCCCTTGGGACAGGGTTAAACTGTCCCGTTGGCTCAAGGCTGTCATCTTGACAGAAGGGGCTCGGGTGGTGTCAGATCTTGATACACAATCACAGGAGAGGGTGGTTGGTATTCTGGGTGCAGGAAAAGCATGGCCACGAGCCCTTGTGACAGGGACGGTGATAGACCAATGTGGCTGCAGCAGAAGGCCCACAGAGGGCGAACCTCTGAGAGCACATTGAAAAGGTGGCTCGTGGGTGGCTCTGAAGGCCAAATGAGCACCCACAAAGGCTGTGCTGGATGGATAAGGAGCGAGACGAGGGTGGCGAGGGACCCCAAGTTGTGTAGACAGTCTTGGAGAAACCAGTACAAGCAGTCAGTTGCTTCTTGACAATATTCTGGCTCTTAACACAACTCAAAATCTGAATGGAAAAAAAAAGAGTGAAATAGTTGATTCTCAAAGAAAGAGAAGGTTTGGAGGAGGGCAAGGTGTGTGAAAACAAGGGTAGTTGCCACACTGGACCACACAGGACCACACTGGACCACACTGGACCACACCAGACCACACTGGACCACACAGGACCACACAGGAGAGCCCTTTTAAACAGTCTGTGGACACCATGCTGGGTCTTTGTGGGCTTCCTGAGCTGACAAGAGAAATGTTGTCACATTTAGAGTTGCCACAGAGCTCTGGTCGGGTGGGGTAGAATATGTTGGACTGCTAGAGGAAAAGTCAGCAGTTCGAAGTTCCCAGGTGCTCCCAGGGTGGGGCAGTCTCTTCCTGGTGCAAATGCTGAGTTCGCGGAACCCACAGTTTCTGCAGGGAGGCTGGTTATCAGGGTTGACTTGAGAGCAGTGAGTTTGCTGCATTTAATGCTGCTTGAGGACTGCTCACGCATGACGGTCCTTAAATAAAAGGGGCAACGTGGCTTATTTCTGGATGGCTTTCCCCTTGCAGGGCATTCGAGTATCACAGTAAGGAGCCCCAGTGTGTGATAATGGCTGAGAACAGCAAGTCGTCCATCGTCTTCAGGATAAGGGATGTCGTTTTGTTTGAAAAGAGGAGTGAGTACCGTGTCCTCTTCCTTCTTCTCTCCTTCCCTGCCCCACAGCCCCTTCCTTCCCACGCACGCCACCCCCTTTCTCTTGGATGTCTTTAACTTAGGACACCTGGGCACGAAGGCATGCGTACCCACTGGCCAGCTGGGTCAGCTCATCTGGGCTGCTTCACCTCTTGGGTTCACATTTTCTCACTGGGTTGAATTCTACCTCTGTGACCCTGAAAATGAGGCGTTCAGAACCTCCTTCCGTCCCTTCAGGGAGGGGCTGGCAGGCATGGAAGCGCCTCATGACCTTGGAATCTGTGCTGAAGGGGGACCGGGCCCCTGGCTGAGGGAACACTTGGAAAGACACAGGGTCATTAGTTCTGGTCTTCAATTTTCCACTTTTGGGTCGTGATCTTAATTCCCCTCAGACTCTGAAGAGTGCAGGTGGCCCATTTCCTCATCCAATGTTCTTTAAAATGTTGGCTCAATGACCCCATTGTCAGGACGAGAGGCTGCCTGGACGCTATGGAAACCACACGTCTGTTTACACATACAAAAGCCCCAGGAGGTAAATATGAGGGTTTTAATGAATGTATAACACTTTTTAAAAAAACCTATCTCCCATCCTCTGTTATTTGCTGGGTATTAAAACCATTTCTAGTAACAACTTCAGAGCCCCCCAAAAGCAAACCCAACTCACTGTAACCTTCCAGGGCCAGGGGGTGCCCGCCATGGGGTGAATTATTACAGATGCAGGTTCCCCCCATTTCCTCTCACAGAGCAGCTGTGGGTTCAAACCCCCGACTTTGTGGTTAGCAACAGAATGACTTAACCATAGGCCCACCAGAGCTCCCACTATTTCCTGTTGTTGTGGAGTCCCCATCAAGTCAGAACCAACCTACAGCTCACGCTCCGGCGAGGTTTTAGAGGCAGCAAATCTCTTGGGTGGAAATCGCCCATCTTTATTTTTCAGAGCAGCTGGGGGATCCGACCCAGGTGCCTTTGGGTTGGCAAGTGCAGCTCCTTTCCACTAGGCCACCAGAGCTCCCTTGTTGTTGTTAAATGTTGTCGATTCAAGTCCAACCTAGTGATCTAGTGACAAATAGCAGATCTGAACCCCGTCCTATCCTGTGCCATCGTCCCAATCTCTGACACGCAAGGGCCTTATTGATGACATCATGGTGTATGTCCACCTCAGTGGGGGGTCTTCCTCTCCTTTGCTGACCCTCTGTCTGTCTTTCCAAGTGTTAGACTCCTAATAGTCTGCAAGTGAAGGTGTTAAAGGTGATGGGAAACAAAACCAAACTCCACGTTATTGCTGTGAAGACACGTTAGGTTCCTGGTGGCTCTGAGTAGAACGGGCTCCGTGGGAGGAACCGGGCCCTGGGAACCCTGTGAAAGCGGAGTGACAGTTCTCTCTTCTGCAGAGCTTCTGCGTCATGGCCAAGTACTTGGCTGTCTGTACCACCAGCAACTGTGGTAGCATTCTACTTCCTGCAAGCCATGTGTTACTGGCCGTGATGGGCAGCACCCCTGCCCATGGCCCTACAGAGCTTCCAGAGAAGCTTCCCGAAGTGCTCCTTTAGGTTAGGGTTATTTCTACACACGGGTTCTTCTCCTCAGACGTCACTGGCTGCCCCGGGTAGCCTCCTTTTAGCTGTCATTGAAGGAAGGATACAGCAGTTGTCCCACCATCACCCAGCTTGATCACTTCCTGAGAAACTTAACACTTAAGCTGGTCCTATCAAAGACCAGACCAGACAATGGATCCTGATAAGAGTCTGAGCTTGCTTAAAAAAGCTAAAACCTAACTTAATTAACACACCAAATTCCAAGAAGTACCATCTTAGTCCTCCCCAGGACCCCTATAAAAAGGAAACTCCCCAAACTGCCCATGCACCATTTGGATCCTGTCTGCATACCATGCAGCTGGTTCACTTGGCGTCCCTCTCAGACCGCGCAATAAAGGCCTGTTCGTTTCTTGGGATCAATTCCTTTCTTTATTTCTCCCCCTCGCACCCTTGCGCTCTTTTTTATATCCAACAGTAATTCCTGACAGTCAAGTACAGATGAGATTTAAAGATGACCTGTTGAAACCAACAGTTGTTACAAATAGCAAGTAAAGGATGAGTTTAATGGAACCCCCTCTCTCCTCCAGGTTAATGACACTTATATGGGAGAATGTTCCTTGGGAAACACAGGCACTTAACTGTGTCATTTGTGAATCGTTAACCAAAGGGGACACAGGGGAGACAGCTAGGACCAGTTTGAAGTTGCTTGTGTTCAAGGTGACAGGCAGGATCGAAAGGTTAGGTAAACGGGGCTGGGGGCGCACAAACAAGGAGGGGATCAAAGTCCAAAGTCCAGTCATTGAGAGAGCATATTTCTTCACTGTGGGACTGTGTGACCCATTGCCAGATTCCCTGCTGAGAATCTTCTGGGGGCAATTGTGACCCCAAGATTATGATGGTACCCGCCATTTCTTCATACCCATCCCAACCTCCATAGGCCCCTTCTCCTGCCTCTCGCGCTATCAGCAACCACCTTGGCAGCTGGTCGCAGTGACTGCGTTAGAAGGCAGCTTTCTGCTTAACATCCTCCTGAAAGCTCAGAAAATAAAATCCAAAAGCTAGCTAAACACTCGCTATTTAAGAGCTGAGCATCTAATCCTGGGGCCACTGTCTGCTCGCCTCCAGCAGCCTCTCTGTTTCCCAGACTTGAAATGACACCCCTCCCCCTGAGGGGACACCCCCACTGCCCCCCACGCCCCTCGCCCCACCCCCACTCCGCCTCTGCAAAGCCTGTGACCAGCTGTTTCTCCTCCTTCCGGTCTCAGCACAATGGCAGTTTCTTTGAAAACCTGCTCTGATTCTGGGGCCTCCCTTTCACAAAGGCATCTGGCTTTTGAGAAATGGAATGTTTCTAACAGTCACTAGAGCTAAAAGAAGATGCATTTGCAATCATTTTTCATTGGCCGGGGGCAGGTTCCACAAAGTGGGACCCCTGGGTGGAGCAAACCATTCAAGGCTCAGCTGCTGACCAAAACCGCTGCTGAGCAGAGTGTATCCAGTGGGGTCTCAGAAACAAGGTCTGGTGGCCTGCTTCCACAGACGAGTCATAGAAAGGCCTGTGGAGTGGGTGCTGCTGTAACACACACACACACACACACACACACACAGGGTGTTGATGGAGGGGAACGCGCCCCATGGTGACAATGTCTTTGGAAATATTGGAAGTTCTTTATGCAGGTTGAACAGTGAAGCTACGCATTTGTTTAAAGAAGGGTATCATAAAAGATGGTACACATCTACAAGCATTTAAAAATATTTTATATAGATTTGCTTACAAAGTTCATATACATTGTGTTTCACGCTATTCTTCATTCACATTGTGTTTCATACCCATGCATGTTGTTGTTGTTATGTGCCATCCAATCACCTGTGACTCATAGCAACCCTATGTACAATAGCCCTAAACCCTGCTCTATCCTGTGCCAATCTCATTGCCTCTGACACACCCATCCCAATTATCCCAGTCACTGAATCAATCCATTTCATAGAGGGTGTTCTCCTCCTGCACTCTCCCTCCACCCTCCCAAGCGTGATATCCTTCTCCAAGGACTGGTCCCTCCTTGTAGCATGTCCAAAGTATGTCAGACGAAGCTGCAGAATCCTTGCCTCCAAGAAGTAGCTTGGTTTAACCCTCTCCAGGATGAACCTGTTCATTTTTTTAGCAGTCCATCATCTATTCAATACTCTTCTCCAGCACCACAGCTCAAAGGCATCAATTTTCCTTCTATCATCCAATGGTTGTAAAGACCAGGGACTATATCAGGCGCACCTTGGTCTCCAGAGTGACATCATTGCTCTTTGGTACTTTGGTGAGGTCCCTAACAGCAGACTTTCCCATCACAATACGTCTTTTAATTTCCTGGCTGCTGGTGCCAAGAATGTTGACTGTGGATTGTGTTTGATAAAATTAATCATCATTAGACTATGCCCATCATAACCTTGTCTTTTTATATCTCCATTGGATCTGTCCCATTTCCTTTACTCCCCCCTCCTCCCACCAAATTGTGCAATGTTGTGGATTTGCCCCTACCCATCCTCACCACTCTACTCCAATCCCTTCCCGCTCTGGGTCCCCATATATATTTTACTAGTTATCCTTCTATTTTTACAATAATGGTCTTACCCAAGCATTTTATATTTTCACTGAAAACACAGGCTAATGTTAGTACTTTGTGGGTAACAAGCAGAGTTTTTTCTTCTTATCTTTAAAATGTGAGTCCACCAATGGAGCGGCATGCTGTCTAAACGACCCTCTCATACAGTCTGTCCAATAATAGTTTCTTTTTTAAAAAAATTAGAAATATTTTTTATTATTAATTTTAATGAACGTTTACAGAGACTTTGGATTTCCATTCATTCATTGTTGCATTTTCCTCCCTGCCCACCCCACCCCCAATAGTTTCTTTCTGTTTGAAGTAGCGCAAACTTTAAAGACGTTTATTTCACAGTCCCACAGAGAGCCTTGGGAATGTTCATAATTTACCCCCAAACTCAAAGGATTGACTTATCTCCAATGGATTTGACAGCAATTTCTCAAATGATTCGACTCTTTCAAATCCTTAAAAGCATCAGCTCAGTCAAAATGCTAACAAGCAGAGCAGTCATCCTTTCTCTTTGCACGTTCGTACCTCAGTCCAGGTAAGTTTCCAGGATCGTAAAGACAATGGATGCTTGGAAATGTGTGACTCAGCTGGAGGTACCAGATGCAGGTGGACACATACAAACGTGGGGCTGAGCCTCAGACCTTTTGATTAGCAATTGAGTGTTTTGGTCACTGCACCACCAGGGCTCCACATAGGCTTGGAGGGTCTCAGCAGAGAACTTTGGTATAAATGGATGCACAAGCCAGCCCACTTCACTCACTGCAGCTCCTGCAGAGATGGGGGGATCTCCGTTCCCCTTCTACAGCAGCGTGCGGCCGGCGTGCAGCGAGGGTGCTCACTCACAGCCTTTCTCCCAGTCTATCTTTCAGAGTGCAGGGTCGGCAACGGAAGGCACTACCGGGGCACGATGGCCAAGACCAGGACAGGGCTTGACTGCCAGAGGTGGAGCGACACCACTCCTCACAAGCCTAAGTAAGACGTTCTCCTGCCTCTGGGGTCACCTGTCATGTCTCGAAAACCTGTGACTTCCCAACCCAACCAGAAACGCGTGAGAGAGCTTTGTGACTGCTTGACTTAGTGCTGCTGTCACAAAGGATCACAGTGGGCTGCTTTAAAGAACAGAGACGTGTTAACTCCTGGTTCTGGAGGCTGGAGGTCCAGATACAGGGCATCACCGGGGCTGGCCTCTCTTCAAAGTCTAGGGGAGACCCTGTGTGGCCTTGTCCAGCTTCCAGGAGCCCCGAGCACCGCTTGGCTTGTAGATGCATCTTCACTTGCTCTTTGTTTTCCCTGTGTTATTCTGTCTCCACATGTGTGTCCCTCTTTGGAAGATACCACCAGGTTTTGCAAGAAGGGATTAGGACCCACCCTCCTCTGGTATAACCTCACTAATCAATCACATCCTCAAAGAAACTTTGTCCCAAACAAAGACAAGTTCCCATGCATTTGGGTCAGAACTGCAACATACCTATTTGGGTGCAACAGTTCCATCTGTAATGGTGTGGACATGTCAATTAAAACATTACGACTCAAACACATTATAACCCAAGCACAGAAGAAGATGTCTTCTCTTTAGCCTTGTGTTTGTAAATTCTTGGAGAATCTGGAACACAGGAAGCTGTCTAGCAAAAATAAAAACTTAAACCATGGATTCTAGATCCAATGTGAGAAAGGATGAGAAATAACTGTGCCTAGAATGGACTTAGTTATTGCATCAAGTTGGACCTTTGTCACATATTCACCTCCACATTGAACCCATTGAAGAAGAAAAAAGAGTCTCTCAATGGTTTTGTTAATTGTTTTAGTGTCAGTGTGACAGTGTTGTCATTATTAGGTGCTGTTGGGTTGAGTATGACTCTGTGAACAGGGTCTGAACCCTGTCCTATCCTGTGCCATCCTCACGTCTCTGGTATACCCACGTCCATTGCTTCAGTCACTGTGTTGATCCGTTTGGTTGAGAGTCGTCTTCTTTTTTGCTGACTGTCCACTTGTCCAAGTTTAATGTCCCTCTTAAAAAATAAATAGCCTCTCCTAGCGACATGCCCAAAGTGTGTGAGACAAAGCTTCACCATTCCTACCTCCAAGGAGCACTCTGGCTATACCTTCTTTCTCTAAGACATAGCTATTTGTTCTTTTTTAATTCTACGGGATATTCAGTACTCTTCTCCAACACCAGTATGACCTTAGGTGGCCTTAAGTCCTTCGTGACACTTGCCTGATGCCACTGAGTCCACTTCATAGTGACCCTATGTACAGTTGAGCAAAGCGCTGCCTGTTCTGGCACCGTGTTCACGGCTGTTGCTGTGTCTGAGTTCATTGTTGAAACCACTGTTTCAATCAAGTTGTCTTGTCCAAAGTGGTTTTCCTTTTTACTGAGCCTCTTGGAGGAAGGGTGAGCATGATGTTCCTCTGAAGCAAAAATGATGAAACTTCATCTCATAGACTTTGGACATGTTATCAAGAGGCTTCATTGTTTTGACAAAGCTGTCATGATTCTTAGAAAAGTAGAGGGTTGCTGAGAGAGAAGACCCTCAATGAGACAGGTTGACAGAGTAACTGAGACAATGGGCTTGAGCATGATGGGACTGTGAGGATGCCACGGACCAGCACAAGGTTTCTACCTGTTGTTCACAGGCTCACACGGTCGACTTGAAGACACCTAACAACAACAACACTTGTACAAACATTTATAGTTTCTTAGAATAAACATTAAAATATCACTCTATCTCATTGACCTCAAGTCAGTTCTGACTAATAGCCAGAGGAATTAATTATCTAACAAAAACAGAACACAGCAATTCATCACGGGAACTGACAATGAGATTATCACCCACTCACAACCCTTAACATCCACTCTTAACCCTTATCACCCACTTTTAACCCTGATCACCCACTCACAACCCTTAATACCTACTCTGAACCCTGACCACCTACTCTCAACCTTTATCACCCACCTTAACACCCATTCAATTTTTATTACCCACTCTCAACCCCTAACACCAACTCAACCCTTAACACCCACTCACAACCCTTAACACCCACTCAGAACTGCAAACCCTCATGAACTCAGCCCGTGAGTCCAAGAGAGGCCACAACATCTGGGATCAAATGGCTCTGGCCCTGGCACTTGGCTCTCCGTGTGCTACCTTTTTGTTGTGGGGACATAGGCAAGCTTGACCTTGTTTTACACGGTTGCGCCTCGGTTTCTGTGCGAAGGGGATAATACCACCTTCCTGCTAGGGTTTTTGTTAATACTCAGTAAGAGAGTAAGCAGGAAAATGTCAGTGCCAATCCCACCCCATGCTTTACACAGACTGAAGAAATGGCAAAAAACCGTGATTCTTTTTACAGAGAGAAGGGCAATTGATTAAAGCAGGTGTTTGGAAGAAACACAGATCTGACGGGTACTGGAATCTTCCTATTTCTACTGACTGTGCATAAGAACGCTTTGCCTTGGCATCGAAGACCTGCCTATCAGATGGCAGCAGTGGTGATAAGATCTATTGTGCCCACGCAGCCAGTTGCTCCAACACGGCTGGGATATGCAGAGTGACAGGGACTGATACTGCAGACAGCAACGAGCGAGCCCCTTATCCTGATGTGCTGATAGCATGTTCATGTTTGAAGCAGATTCATTGAAAGTACATTTTTTTTTCTTTCCCATTCCTTCCCTCCAGCTATTACCCTGAGAAATACCCTTTGGAGGGTCTGGAGGAGAACTACTGCCGGAACCCAGACGACAGCGAGAGTGGACCGTGGTGCTACACCACTGACCCCAAAACCAGATACGATTACTGCAACATTCCTGAGTGTGAAGGTCAGCACCCCTCTGGGCACACTCTCATCTGCAGAGAATTGGTGTAATGTCACCTTGTATAGGAACGTTACAAATTATCAGTGTAGTAGTTGGCCAAGGCAGTAACATTGGACTTATCAAGGGGGTGCAGATTTCAGATTGATCCCATTCCTGGGATTACCTTAAATTATTGGATTATCAAGAAAACAAATCTGTCTGTCTTGAAGAGGGTGAAACCAAGTCTCTCCTTGGAGGCTAGGATTTTGAAGCTCTGCCTCATGTACTTTGGGCATGTGACTAGGAGAGATTGATCCTTGGAGAAGGATATCATGCTCAGGAGAGGGAGATATCAGATGAGATGGAATGAGACAGTGACTAAGATGATGGGGATTGATGTGCTGGAGTTAGTGAGACTGGCTCAGGACAGGGAAGGGTTCAGAGCTGCTGGACATGGGGTTGCTATACATCGCAGGCAACTCATCACAGGCACATAACAACAACGTACTATAACAAGTTTGGAAGCAGGATTGGCATCCACTTCCTAAACAACATGCCTCCAGAAACTCTATGATAAATGTTGATACTTGTGGAGAGTCTTTAGGCCTTTGGTTCGTAGGGTTGCTATGAGTCGTGCTTGACTCAAAAGCAATCAGCAGTACTTGAAGATCAGCAGACATCTAACTACTTAGAAACTTTAGCGATAAACTTTTTCTTTGTATAAGCTGCAGAACATCTAAAATAAAACCCCATTATTTTTGTTCCAACGATGCAGAACCTGTGCTGTCAACTTTGAAAAAAAAATCCAATTATACCATGTTGAGTTGGCATTGTATGGAAATTAACAGCCATATTGGTCTAGAAATGATACATTTCATTCCCCCCCTTTTGTAAAGGGGTAACACACTATATTAAATATATAAGGTCTTATCTGCATGGATTTGATTATGAAAAGAATAAAGTATTCTATTTAAAAAATAAAATAAAACCCTCAAATTACAACTAAAGAATTAAAATGAAATTACAGATTCAAGAAGATTCAAATAAATGATATTAATTTAACACGGAAGATTTGGATAGCTGGTTGATACTTAGTAATTTGTCAATTCTTAAGCCAGCAATCCCTTATATTATTGGACTGACCAGGTGAATATAAAAAAAAGAAAATAAACCCACTGCCACAGAGTTGATTTTGATTTATAGCCATCCTCCACTGGACTTGTGAGAAGAGAAATCTTAGTGGAAGGAAACGTCCCATCACTGTCCCATCAAGGGGCTGGTGGATTTGAACCTCAGACCTTCCCACTGTCAGTTCAACATGCTACACACTACACCACCAGAGCTCCTTGTGACCAATTGACTCTCAGACCTCAGAGTTCAGTGCGGTCCTTTGAGTATTGCATTGAGAGAATGTTCTTTACTTCCTAGTTATGGCTACATTTGTAGCTGAATGAGGGACTAAATAAATGGAGTATAGGTAACATCTCGGCTTGAAAAGTGGACACGACACTGGGTGGCATCTCAATGTCCTGTCACTTGTAGCTATTGGAACTATGGATGTCCTTTATTTGTAGGTCATTTGGATCTTGTAGAGCAACATGTTGTGTTAGACTGAGAACCAAAAAGTCAGCAAATTGAATCCATCAATCCTTCTGCGGTGATAAATGGGAAGTCTCCTCCCATAAAGATTTACAGCCTTGGAAACCCAATGCGGGTCGCCAGGAGTTGTACTTTTTTCGATGGCACTGAAGTTGACTTAGTCTCTTTACAGAAATGTACATTTTCTATAACAGCTATGCCTCCCTTTTCCTTGTTCATCTACTGCAGTCAGGTTGGTTCTAACTTGTAGAGACTCTGCAGGACAGAGTAGAGCTGTCCCGTAGGACTTCCAAAGTTCTAATCTTTACAGAAGCACACTCACATCAACAACAACACCAACCAAAAAAACCCCACCAACCTATGTTATGCAGATGACACAACGTTGCTTGTTGGAACTGAAGTGGACCTGAAGCGCTTGCTGTAGAAGGTGAAGGACTTTAGCTGGTGGGTTGGAACCACTGATCTTTTGGTTAAAAACTGAGTGCTTAACTACTCTTCTCCTTATTAGCCAGTTAAAAATGAAAGCAATAAGATTTTGCTGCACTTTGTTATCTCAATCCAGGTTTGATATTCTAAATAAAAGTTTTGATTTTTTTTTAATATAACACAAGGAAATAGAGAGAGGAAGACAAAGCAAAGTATTATAATAAAATCTGCAAAGAACTGGAGTCCAAAAAACAAAAGGGCTGTATTCGCTCGGCATTTCTTAAGCTGAAGGAACTAAAGAACAAATTCAGGCCTCAGGTCACAATGCTTAAGGATGCTACAGGCAGGATATTGAAAGATCCAGGAAGTATTAAAAGAAGATAGAAAGAGTATACAGAGCCACTGTACCAAAAACAATTGGCTGACGCAAAAGAATGTCAAGAAACTACATATGATCAAGAGGCAATGGTGATGAAGGAGAAAGTTCAGGCTTCTCTGAAGAACTTGGCAGAAAATAAGGCCCCAGGAACCAACTGACGTATTTCAACAAACAGATGCTCCCCTGTATGTGCTTAACAGGTTATGCCAAAAAATCTGAAAGACAACTATCTGGCCAACTGACTGGAAGAGATCCATATTTATTCCCATTCCAAAAAAAAAAAAGGTGACCCAATAGAGTACGGAAAAAATCCTGCTGAAGATTATCCAGAAGTGACTGGAACAGCACATTGACAGAGAACTAGCAGAAATACAAGCTGGGTTTAGAAGAAGTTCTGGCACTAGAGACATTATCGCCAATGTCCGATGGATCTTGGCAGAAAGCAAAGATTACTAGAGGGATATCTATCTGTGTTTCATTGACTAGGCAAAGGCATTTAACTGTGTGGATCACAACAAATTGTAGTGGAGAATGGGAATCCAAGAACATTTGATTGTGCTTATGCAAAACCTATACTTGGACCAGGAAGCAGTCCTCAAGACAGAGTAGGGAAACACTGCATGGTCCAAATTCAGAAAAGGAGTGTATCAGGGATGCATCCTGTCTCCACACCTTTTCAATCTATATGTAGAACAGATCATTTGAGAGGCTGGACTTTATGAAAAGAAATGTGGCATTAGGATTGGAGGAAGACTCATCAACAACCTATGTTATAATAAAAAAATAAAAAAGATAACCAAAAAGATAAAAACAACAACAACAAAAAACAAAACAAAACAAAAACCCACAACCAACCAAGCTATGTTTTGCAGATGACACAACCTTTCTTGCTGGAAGTGAGGAGGACCTGAAGCACTTGCTACAGAAGATCTAGGACTATAGTCTTCAATACAAGCTCAACATCAAGAAGACAGATGGAGAAGAGATTGAGGTTGTTAAAAGTTACTACTTACTCAGCTCCCCAATCAACACTCTTGGCACTAGAAGTCATGAAATCAAAAGACAAATTGCATTGGGTAACCCGGCTGTCAGACACCTCTCTGGAGTACTGAAAAGCGATTATGTCAGTCTAGAGACTAAGGTGCACATGATCCAATCCAGTCTTCCAATTTACTTACTATCCATTAGAGAGCTGGACAATGACTGAGGATGATAGAATAATTGATGCCTTTGAGTTGTGGTGCTGGAGAAGTGTCTTGAACATACCATGAACCACCAAGAAAACAAATAAGTCTATCTTGGAGAGAGTGAATCCAAGTTTCTCCTTGGAGGCTAGGATTTTGAAGTTCCATCTAACATACTTTGGGTGTGTGGCCAGGCTGACCAATAAGTCATCATGCGTAAGACATCATGCTCGGAAGTGTGGAAGGACAGCACAGGAGAGGAAGACCTCGGATGAAATGGATTGATACAGTGTCAAGGGCAACAGGTGTAGGTGTGTTGGAGTCAGTGAGACTGGCTCAGGACAGGGCAGGCTTTAGAGCTGTTATATATAGGATCACTGTGAGTCACAGGTGACTCAATGGCACGTAACAACAACAACAACAAGGAAACAGAAAACAGTTGGTCGTGAGTCTCACCACATTGAGAACCAGCCGACCGTATACCTCATCAGAACAAAAAGGGGTGCTTGGTCATGGTGCAGGAGGGACTTCTTACAGAGGCCATTAAGACACACAAAAATGGCAGTCCTAAGATATAGGGTCTGCGTGTGTTGTCATTGGAGGAGGCTCCTTTCATAGACAGTTTCAAAGTCCATTCTGAAAGGAAGACACCATATATTATATGTTCTGAGAGACTCAGACTTCAGAGAATCCATCTGTGTTCACCAGCTCCTGTCCCCAGGACATGGGCTCCCAGCTTGAGGACCCAACATATCCAAGTTTGTCTATGACTGTAACGGTTGACGGCACAGTTTCCAAAATCTGATCACTGTATCACTCAAAAGAGAGAAGACTGTTTTGCGTGTGAGAAACATTTAATAATAAACAAAGTCTGTTGCTACTTGTCTGAGGGGTGGCAGGAAATTGCATCTGAACGAGTTGCAATAGTGTTTGTGATCTCTCAAGTGGGACCAATGGCTTACTGTCTTCCAGCTCCATCCATTTCAACTGCTTTCTCTCTGTCTTGTTTTTTTTTTTTTTTTTTCTGTCCAGAAGAATGCATGCATTGTAATGGAGTGAACTACCAGGGCAAAATTGCCAAGACCATGTCTGGACTTGACTGCCAGGCCTGGGACTCCCAGAGCCCACATGTTCATGGATACATTCCCTCCAAGTGAGTCCTGGGTGGGTTTGGTAGGGGATTGAGTGTTTAAGATTCTGTGGTCTGTCAGATACGGCATGTTTGATCTAACATAAACACGTTGCCACCTTGGGAATCAGACCTTGCCTCCTCCCACCAGAGTGGAAGTAGAAGATACAGTCTTATTCGCAGAATGTGGACTATGTTCCCTGCCCCCACAGCATCTGCATCTCCTATGAGCCCCTCAGGCCCACCAAGCCCGAATCTGCAGCTCACAGAGTTCCCAGTGATGGCTGTGAACATTCAAATGTGGGAACCACAGATCAGTCTCTTGGGAATTTTCCTAATACTTCTGTCACCTTTTCACTCTCTTTATATCAATAAGGCTCACAGCTTCTTCCCCCAAGTCTTAAGAATGGCCTTCAGGGATTATATGACACCTCTTCGGAAGCAGGAGTGGCATCCACTTCCTAAATAACATGTCTTTGGAAACTCTATGAACTTTGTTAAATGTCAATATTTGTAGAGGGGCTTCAGGCCTTTTGTTCATGGAGTCACTATGAGTCATGCTCAACTCAAAGGCAATCAATAACAACATCAATAACAACGTTTAACGTATTTATACCAGTGCATTGTTTTACAGTGAGGAAAAGGGAATTCCCTTACAAAGGAATGAATTCCCATTTGAGAAGGTGATAATGATTCTAGAGTCTTCCATTTCATACTCATTGTTCTAGAAATTGTCTTTCACTCTGTGGTTGCTTCTGTTTTTTTCTTCATTTCATCTGGTTATAGAAATATGTTTACGGCATTGAAGTCTATGGGGGAGAGAATAGTCTAAAAGTATTATATTTTAGGGCATTATTTTTATCGTAGGAGTATGCAATGAGGGTTGCAGAGTGGATTATATTTGGGGGTGGGGGTGGGGGTAGGGATTGTGTACTAATGAGGGAGTTTTTCTTTTGCTTTTCAAGGAGAGGAGCAAATGGGGGGAGGGGGGAGGGGTTTGTGCTGGGGAGAAGGGTGCAACAATGAATGAATGGAATCCCAAAATCTCTGTAGATGTTCATTGAAATGAAAAATAAACAACCTAAATAAAAAAAAAAAGAGAACCACAGAAATGAGACTGAGTACACTGTTGACAACAGCACCACTGTGTTTTGTAGCTGCCTTTCCAAGAGCGAGTTCAACCTTGCAAAAGTGACAAGGAGAAAGGGACGTCATGCTAGGAAGGGTGGAGGGCTCAGTGAAAGAGAAAACCTTCAACGAGATGGATTGACAGGGTGACTGCAGCAAAGGGCTCGAGGGTGTCAGAGCTGATGAGGACGGCGCAGGACAGGACAGGGTTCAGATCAAATGTTCACAGGGTTGCTCTGAGTCATACTGGACAGCTCCTAACAACACTTACTAAGGAGCCCTGGTGACACAGTGGTAAGGAGCTGTGTGGCCGAACCAAAGACAAGCAGTTCAAACGATTTACTGACTGCATCTGAAAACCTGCTGGAGGGGCAGCTATGAGTCAGTTCCAACTTGAGGGTGAACAATGACAGCAACAGTAATTTAAAAAGGAAGAGGTTTCCTCATCAACAGCAGCAGTATTCCAAGGCTAGTTCCTATGAGGCTGGACATGACTCCATCTCCCCGACTTCAAGCCCTTCTTTAACTAATTCAGACACCAATCATCCCTTCCTTGGAGCTCATGCCTTCTCTGCTGGGTTCGATAATTCTTTGCAATGGCCACACAGAACCCACAGATGCTCCAGGCTCACACCCATGTGCTCAATGCTGCTGCCAAACCAAAAAACAGATTCTAATCAGGGATGTCAAGGTGAAGTGCTATTAAATCCTTCTCATCCACTCAGGTTTCCCAGAAAGAACCTGAAGATGAATTACTGCCGGAACCCTGACGGGGAGCCCCGCCCCTGGTGCTTCACCACAGACCCAAACAAGCGCTGGGAGTTCTGCGACATCCCCCGCTGCAGTGCGTATGCTCAGCCTGGGAATTGGGCCTGCAGGGCTGGGGGGATCTGGGGATCGATGGTCCATTTCCTCAGTATTTCCAACTTGTTGGGGAGTCAGGAGGAAAAGAGTCCAGGGGTAGAAGAAGACACAGTAGACCTAGTAGGAACGACTTGGAAGGAAAAGTTTTATCTTTTTTTCTATGAAAATTTGAAGCAAAGACCTTAAAGTTTAGACAAACACTAGAGGGTAGAGCAGGGCTGGGGTGGGCTTCCTCCCTGTTTTCCTTCCTGTGTTCTGAGGACCGGGCCCCAGGGAGCCACACATCACCTCAGGTTCCCTCTCCTGAGAACATCAGGTCCCTTCTTGTCACCTTCTCTTTTCTTTTTGTTAACAATTTCCTGGTTTCCGGACGCACACACCTTCCCCAGGAGACAGTGCTTCACGTCTTTCCACAAACTCTGTTGATTGGCTTTTTGGAACACTGGCTATCATCTGGTTGTGTTTACTCAGTGAATAATTTATTCTTCACGAAGGACTTGGGCCCTCATTGATGTATGTGAAGGTTTGGGGTGGGAAGTTGGCACGTGTTGATACTTAACTGTGTATGAGGCACTGAGCAAAGAGAACCAGGAGGGAGGCCTCTTGTCTCAGGGCCTTGCCTTTGGAGGACACCCTCAGAGAGCCATGGTAGACAGAGCTTCTGCCCAAGGTGCTTCTGGGGATGACTGACAGTTTTCAAGTGTCAAATCTCAAGAGTGAAGGGCAGAAAAGGAGCTAGATGATCCTTCCTGTACCATTCCCTAGAAATCTGTCTGTGCATTCTTCATTTTCAAAAAAGTAAAATTGATCTCTGTTTATTTTCCTATTCAAGCAACACCCCCACCCTCATCTGGTCCAACATATCAGTGTCTGAAGGGAAGAGGTGAAAGTTACCGAGGGAACGTGGCCGTGACCGTGTCTGGGTACACGTGTCAACACTGGAGTGCACAGACCCCTCACCGACACAACAAGACCCCCGAAAACTTCCCCTGCAAGTAAGTCTCCTTCCTGATCGCCTCCTCTGGCCCTGCTGTTGTTATGTACCGTCGAGTCGCCTGTAACCCATAAGAGACTCTATGTACATTATCTCTGAAACCTGCCCTATCCTGAGCCAATCTCATAGTCTTCAATAGACCTAATCTCATTACTCTGGTCACTGAGTCAATCCATCTCATCCTGGTTCTTCCTCTCCTGTGCTGTCTCTCTACCCTCCCAAGCATGATGTCCTTCTCCAAGGACTGGTCCTTTCTGAAAACATGTCCAAAGTATGTGAGATGAAGCCTCAAAATCCTTGCCTCCAAGAAGCAGATAGTTTCACCCTCTCCGGGACAGACCTATCTGTTCTCCTCGCAGTCCATGGTATGTTCAACGCTTTTCTCCAGCACCACAGCTCAAAGGCATTGATCCCTTGCCTATCATTCTTAGTTATTGTTCAGCTCTCATATAGATAGCAAGAAATTGCAAAAACCATGGTCTGTATCAGGTGCACCTTAGTCTCCATGATGACATCTCTGCTCTTCAGTACTCTAGAGAGGTCCCTGACAGCAGACTTTCTCAATGCAATACACCTTTTGATTTCCTGACTTCTGGTGCCAAGAGTGTTGATTGTGGAACCAAGCAAGCTGAAGTTATGTACAAATCCAGCAGAAAAGTATTCTGGAACGAAAACTGCTCGAGTCATATACAAGGGAAGTCAAATTTAGAGCCCCTTTTGCTTTGATAATGTTTTTTGTGTCTGGTCCCATAGATAGCAGTATCAACTAGGAGTTTGTTCGAAATGCAGATTTATAGCCCTACTCCAGACACATCAGGAAGCACTGTGGCCTTGTGGCAAGACGCTGTGCATCCTGAAGGAAAGAGGTTCGGTGCCACCAGCTAGCCCACAGGAAGAGGATGGGCAGTCTCCTCCCATGCAATTAACTGTCTCTGAAAATTTGCCAGAGGGTCAGCTATGGGTCGGCTCTGACTCACTAGTTCACAACAACAATAACGACCAGATGTATCCATCAAGACTCATTAATTGGGACCAATAGCCCCTTACTCAGTGCGCACTGACAGTGGAGGACCCCACTCTGGATTACTTGTCATCCATAGCTGGGGTCCACACTTCCCTCAGTGCCCAAAAAGCCAGGACTAAATTGAAATCGCCATCACATAGCGGATAGCACAATGTCCAACACATGATCTAAGACTTATTTTGCTTGACTCCAAAAGTTCAGTTGTATATTTCAACTCTTCATCCAGGAGAAGCATGTGTGTCGTAATTCTCTGGAATCTGGCCCTGCTTGAGCTTCTCTTCTGATATCTGTGATTCATGCTGTTTAACCCTAAAACAAAGATGTCAATTTAAAGACCAAGGTGCTCCTGACCTACATCAGAGTGTTTTCAATGGCTTTCTTACAAGTGAAATTTGGATCATGAATAAGAAAGACTGAAGAATGCATATCTTCTAATTGTGTTGAAGAATATTCAATATTCCATTGACTGTCAAAAAAATAAACAAATCTATCTTGGAAGAAGAGCAGCCAGGGTGATCCTTTAAGGCAAGGATGGTGTGGCTTTGTCTGAGACTCTGAGCACGCTTTTAGGATGGCTTTGTCCCTGGAGAAGGACATTCATTATGCCTGGAAAAGTGGAAGTTAAGTGAAAGAGACAAAATTCTCAACAAATGAATTGATGCAGTGATGACTACATCAATGGGCTTAATTCAGGACAATGGATCGCGAAGATGGCAAGGACGAGGGCGGGCTTTCAGTCTGTTATACACAGTGTTGTGGGAGCCATCACCCAAGAACAGGACTCTCAGCACGTTACCTGAAAACCTATCCAGTATCACTGTTCACAAGGAGCCTTTGTGGTTGACATGCTTGGATGCTAACTGAAGGATCAGTGGTTCACTAGCTGCTCTCCACGAGAAAGGAGCCACTCTGCTTCCATAACAATTTACCTGCCATTCTACCCACCCTATAGGTAGTTCAAGACCATCCGAAGGGGTTTTTGGTTAATCACTCTCAATAACTGGGCATGTGCCTTGCTTATTTATGTACGTTTCTTCTTTTTTCAGAAATCTAGAAGAAAACTACTGTCGCAATCCTGATGGAAAAACTGGTCCTTGGTGCTACACAACCAACAGTGAGAAGAGGTGGGAATTCTGCACGATACCGTCCTGTGATTCATCCACATCATCTGTGGAATCAACGAGTAAGTTGGCGTGATGGGAGCTTACTTGGGGTCCAGGTCCTCTGTGTTGGTCTGTCCCATGGTGGCATTACATCTACCCTGTTGTTGTTGTTGTTAGGGAGTCGAGTACAACTCATAGTGAGCCCCTCAACAGTGGCTGTAAACGTTGTCCTATCCTGAGCCATCCTCACTATCTCTGACACATCTGACCCCATTACCACAGGGCTCAATCCATCTCATCCAGGGCCTTCCTCTCCTGCGCTGACCCTCTACCCTTCCAAGCCTGATATGATAGCTTATCCCTGGAGTGGTCAGTGACTACAGTTACAGACTTCATTTTAATGCCTTCTATTTCATTGGACGTGGAGACGTGATGATATTTGGAGCTCTGGTGGCCTAGTGGCAAGAAGCTGTGCTGCAATCCCAAAGGCACATGTTCGAGGCCACTAGCTGCTCTGCAGGAGAAGGATGGGCACTCTCCTCCCAAGTGATTAACTGTCTCTGAAAACCCACCAGAGGGCCAGCTATGGGTTGGTTCTGAATCTCTGGTACACAGCAGCAACAACAACAATGACACCAACACTTTATTGCGCTCTGAGGATGCGCTGAATTTTGCAAGTTGAGAGTTTGGAGCAGGCCTGTGAAGAGCAAGTCTGTTGTTGCCATTTCCCCCAAAGGTGCCCCTTTTGTACCTCTATGTCACATTTTGTCCATTTTCAAGGTTTCAAGCTTTTTCACATTGTTCTTACACTTCTTCATAAACTATCCACCCACTGCTGTAGAGTAATTTCCCCACCTAGGGTGACCTTCCATCAGTGTTGAGGCTCTGAATCTTAACAGATGGAAGAACTGCCTCTTCATCTGCCTTTTGAGCAGCTGGTAGGTTCAAACGCTTGACCTTTCATGTCGCAGCTCTATATGCAGCACACAATGCCATCAGGGCTCCTCCCTCCTTCTTTTTATTATTATTAATTGTTTTAATGAAAATTTACAGAGACTTTGGATTTCCATTCATTCACTGTTACACTTTTCTCCTTGCCCACCCCTCCCCCCCAGTTCGTTCTTCTCTTTGAAAAGTTAAAGAAAGATTCTTTCATTGTTACACAATCCCTCCCTCCAAGTCCACTCCACTATGCAGCCTTCATTCTGGACTCCTGTCATGAAAATAATGTCTAATCATATCTCCCTTTAACAGTTTTCTCCCTCATCTGTTTCAATGCCATATACATTATTTATCCCATTTTTCTCATTCTCCCCACCAACCCCAATGTCAGTCCCATTTTACAACAGTGGCATTATGCAGTATAAGTCCTTTTGTGACTGAGATATTTCACTCAGCATAATGTCTTCCAGGGTCATCCATTTTGAATAATATTGCATGAGTTCCTTGTTTTTCAATGCAGCATAGTATTCCATTGTGTGAATATACCAGAGCTTCTCTATCCATTCGTTTGTTGATGGGCACTTGGGTTGTTTCCAACTCTTTGCTATTGTGAACAAAGCCATGATAAACATAGGTGTGCATATAACTGCTTGAGTGGCGGTTATGGTTTTTGGTGGGTATATTCCCAGTAGTGGAATTGCTGGGTCAAAACAGTATTTCTATTTGCAACTTTTTGAGAAAGCTCCACACTGCCTTTCTAGTGGTTGCACCATTTTACACTTCTACCAACAGTGAATAAGGGTTCCATTATCTCCACAACCTCGCCAGCATTTGTTGCTTACTGTTCTGTTAAATTTTACTATTCTTACTGGGGTGAGATGATATCTCATAGTTGTTTTAATTTGCATCTCTCTTAGAGCTAGAGATTTTGAACGTTTCTTCATGCGTTTTTTTTTGCCATCTGAATGCCTTCTTTGGTGAAGTGTCTGTTCATATCCTGTGCCCATTTTTCTATTGGATTGTTTACCTTTATCTTGTTGTTGTGCTCAAGTATTTTATAAATTCTAGATATAAGCCCCTTATCTGACATGCCATTGCCAAATACTTTTCCCAGTCTGTGGCTTCCCTTTTTACCCTGTTGGAGAAGTTTTTGGATGTACATAGAGATTTGATTCTTAGAAGGTCCCATTCATCTATTTTATCCTCCCTTAGCTGCAGATTTTTCAGGATGCTTGGAAGACTGTTTATGTTGTGGATTAGGACTTCTAGAGTTCTTCCAAACTTTTCTTTAATGAAGTTCATAGTCCTTAGTTTTAGTCTTAGGTCTATGATCCACCTAGAGTTGGTTTTTGTTTATGGGGTGAGGTGTGGATCTTGCTTGAGTCTTCTGTAGATACTTTTTCAATTTTGCCAACACCATTTGTTTAAAAGGCTGTCTTTTCCCCACTTAACTAATTTCATCTCCTTGTCAAAAATCAGTTGACCATAGGTAGATGGGCTGATTTCCAGGTCCTCAATTCTATTCCACTGATCTATGTGTCTGTCATTGTACCAGTACCATGTTGTCTTGACCACCACGGCACTGCAGTAGGATTTGGAATCAGGGAGTGAGATGCCTCTTACCTTATTTCTCTTTTTAAGAAGTGCTTTGCTTATTTGGGGCTTCTTTCCATTCCAAATGAAGCTGGAAATTGCCTTTTCCATCTCATTGAAGAATGCGATTGGTATTTGTATTGGAATTGCATTGAACATGTAAATTGCCTTTGGTAATATTGCCTTTTTCACAATATTGAATCTTCCTATCCATAAGCAAGGGATATTCTTCCACTTCTCCAGGTCTCTTTTTGTTTCTTGTAGTAATGTTTTGTAATTTTCTTTGAATAGATTCTTTGTGTTTCTGATTAGATTTACTCCCAAGCATTTAATCTTGTGATTTGCTATTGTGAAGGGTACTGTTTTTCTTAGTTCTGGCTCTGTATTCTCTTTGTCACTGTAGAGAAATCCAACTGATTTTTGTATGATCTCGTATCCTGCTACTTTGCTGAATTGGTCAACTATGTACAATAGTTTTCTTGCTGAGTCTTTAGGGTTTTCTAAGTATACTATCATATCATCTACATAGAGAGATAATTTTACCTCCTCTTTGCCAATTTGGATACCTCTTATTTCCTTCTCTTGTCTTATTGCTATTGCTAAGGCTTCCAATACAATATTGAATAAGAGAGGTGATAGTGGACATCCTTGCCTAGTTCCTGTTCTTAAAGGGAATGCCTTTAACCTCTCTCCATTGCGAACAATGTTGGCTTTGGGGTTTGTGTAAATACTTTTTACTATGTTGAAGAAATTCCTCTCTAATCATATTTGGTTGAGTGTTTTTAATCAGAAAAGGGTGTTGGATTTTGTCAAAGGCCTTTTCTGTATCAATTGAAAGAATCATGTGGTTCTTGTTCTTTGTTTTGTTAATGTGATGAATTACATGGATTGTTTTTCTTATGTTGAACCATCCTTGCATACCTCTTATGAATCCCACTTGGTCATGGCGAATTATTTGTTTGATATATTGTTGGACTCTATTGGCCAGTATTTAATTCAGGATTTTTCCATCTATGTTCATAAGAGATGTTGGCCTATAGTTTTCAATTTTGGTGGTGTCCTTGCCTAGCTTTGCCATCAGGGCTCCTTAACAGACCAAAACTCAAAATCTCATTGCTGTTCAGTCAGAACCAATCCACAGCTGCCCCCCTCCCCCACCCATTGAGCTTCCAAGGCTGTAATTCACATGCGAGAAAATTCCTTGCCTTCCCACTGTGGAACTAGAGCTGCAGGTGGACTTTAAAGCAGAGAGAGATGTGGGCTGTGAGTTAGCCCTGCCTCCTCCTGTGGACCATGCCACCAGTGTGTCCTTCACAGGCCAAAGCAGAATGTACACAGAAGTATTGTATGCATTGGAAAGACAGAACAACCATTGTGACTTGCTGTAGGTCCATCTTCCATTTGTTTGTCTGTAACCAGACTGAATCTCCGAGTCTGCCTATGTCTTAACCTGCCATTTTGTGGTTCAGAATGTGGTTTACCTTGGAAAGGTTCCTCTGTTCTTGAAAATAACATGGGCACTGTTGCTGTTGGGTAATGTCTTCCACAAAGATCTGTTCAGTCAATGATTGTTTGTGTTGCTCATGCCTTCCGCTTTCTGCCTAACCCTCCCTGTCTCGTTGATGAGAACTGAACAGTAAAGTCCCCACAACAGCCTTTCTCTGTTCTAACTGTATCTGGTATAACTTGAAGCTTTGCTATATACGTTCACAGTTTAGATGGGCATGTTTTCTTGATGAAATAACCTCCTTACCATTGTGTAATGTCTCTCACTATCTCTGGGACTAGTCCTTGTTCTGAAACCTACTTTCTGCATCAAACCCACTGAGGCCAAGTCTACCCCTATTTATGGTGATACTCTGCTGGGTTTCTAAAGCTGTATGTCCGTATGTCTATTTGTCTTGCTAGCAGTGGAACTGTCTCACCTTCCTCCTGCAGAGAACTGCTGACTTTTCAGCCGCCAGGTGTTCTGGCTGGTATTAAAAGAACCCCTCTTCATCAGTGTTGGTATGATTGTGTTTTTATTAGCCTTTGAACTGAGATATTTTAGGGCATTTGCATTGATTTCAACTTTTAACATAAAACCCCAGCAAACACAGCTCACTGCCATCAGGTCAGTTCTGTCTAATGGTGACCCTTCATTTGGGTTTCAGAGGCTGTAAATCTTAAGAGCAAACTGTCTCTTTTTACTGCTTCATATATCTCCCTCAGAGGGGCTGGTGGGTTTGAACTGCTGATCTTTTAATCATCCACTACCTTTTGTGTGTGTGATTTTAATAAAAGTTTACAGAAAAGTTGAATTTTCATTCATTCATTGTTGCACATTTTCCTCCCTTCCACTCCCTTCCCCCTCCCCTAGTTCACTTAAAAAAAATTCATTCACTGTTGAACAATTACACCCTCCCCTTTTCTTTCCCTCCCCCAGTTCACTTAGCAATACACTCCTTATTCTGAACTGTGGTCATACATATAATGCCTAATCGTATATTCCTTTTAACTGAATTGAAATATCAAAGGCATGTGGTTTGAATCCACCAGGTGCTCCATGGAAGAAGGATGGGCAATCTCCTCTCGTGTGATTTACTGCCTCTGAGAACCCACTGGTGGGTCTGCTATGGATTGGTTCCAAGTTGACGGCACACAGCGACAACAACAACAATTACTGTCTAGTTGTTGTTGTGTGTCATTTCCACTTTCTTCCACTTTTCTTCCCTTCAGCTGAATGAAGCACTTTAGGATTGTATTTCATTTCAATTATTTGCTTATTAGTTAACAATCTTTTAACATTTTTAGTGGCTTCTCCAAAGTTTCCAGGGAGCTCTGGTGGCCTGATCGTAAAGTGCTGCACTGCCACTCTGAATGCACGCAGTTTGAATCTACCATCTGCGCAACGGGAGGAAATTGGGCAATCTCCTCCCATGCAATTTACTGCCTCTAGGAACCCGTTGGAGAGTCAGGTGTGAGTTGGTTCCAACGTAATAGCACATAACAACAACAGCTAACGTTTACGAGATGCATTTATAACTTACACAGTTTACTCTCCAATACTACTATTCTACTTCACGTATAATGTAGAACAAGAGCAAATTTCATTTTCTTTCCTCCCAATTGATGTGCTATTGTTGTCAAAGAATTTCGTTCCATTGCATTTAAATCTTACATTAATAATATTCTTTTTGCCCAGAACAGTCAGTAATTTTCAAAAGTTTAAGGTTGCATAGAGAAGTGTACTCGGGGTGAGGAGTGGGGGGGAAGGGATGTGGGAATTGTATACTAATGAAGGATTTTTTTTCTTTTTCTCTTCGGAGGGGGGAGCGAGCTGGTGGGGAGGGGT